ACTTGTACATATACCTAAAAAGTTATGCAAATATGTACCCATAACTTGTTTTTCAAAATATTAATAAAAGGGGTGTGTCTCCAAACAGCCATCTCTTTCTTGACAATTCCCTTTGTGCATATTCTCTTACATATGATAAGTCAACATTGAAACACCTGCGGCTTTTAGTCAGGTGCGGCTAATGTATGTACAAAACAGGATTTTCCCCTGATTTTAGCTTGTGCAGCAAATATTCAGGTGCGCTTTGTAGTCCGGGAAATACGGTATGTATTTTGAGTAGATTGAGCAGGCTGAACAGCTCCCTCTGCTGGTCATAGTTCTAATAATGCCTCCGAGAATTACAATTCATGCATGTTTGTAACAATTTCTAATCCTCTACAAATAATATTTTAGATATAGACTCCTTTCTTATTTTGTTTGTTTGTCTGAATATTAGATGCTATGCTGGAGTAAGACTTTATTTACCTTGAACACGGCTCTGTTGTCATGATAATAAATGTTTCTTACATGAGCCACGTTTGCTCTTTGAGGCCTCGCCGAATCCTGGGTTTTTACTGTTATACAGGTGATTTCTTAGTGAGGTACATCACCATGATGACTTATTGAAATATGCAAAATTGTGAAAATATTTATCAAAGCTTGTTATTTGATTGACCTCAAATGATTTTCATTTTGCTGTGCGTTTGACTAAAGCAGTGCAGGTTTCATACTAAGTTATTACCAGGTCCAAGTCATAACAATTACTGTATATGAACAGTTCATTCAGCTATTTATTCAGCTGTGGGACCCTAACAGCAATTTGACTGCATTGCTATTATGAACTGTGTTCATTAAGTAGAAAGTTTGCTAATGTGTTTGGGTTAGCTGGTGGTTTAACACCTATCAAGAGGCAAAACATTTACACTGAAGGCAAAATTTACTGTATTGTAATGAACTAATTCTTATTCATGTGTAAGATAATCACTTAAATGAAAAGATTACTTGATTAAGTAATTGTGAGAACATGCAGTGGTATTCTCAAATGTAAAGCTTTGATTGCTCAAGGTTAGAGACAAACTAAAATATCATGTTTAGGGGAGACTCTGTTTTTACCTTCTGGTTGCAGACTGAAATATCTTTCAGGAAAGCCCCTGTCACTGTACGCACGGCAAGTGTAGTTGACGTAGAAGTCCTCCTCCCTTAGCTCAGAAAATATCAGCCAGGTCTCTAACCACGCACCTTTACTGGAGCCATTTTGGGGCAGCAAACTGTTGAGGACAATCAGATGAAACAGTTAAAAGGTGATGTGACAAAATGTGGTGCACTGTGCATGTTAAGGCAGGAGTCTCAAAAAACATTAACTCTGAACACTGGTTCACCAATAAAGCAGATAAATTAAATAGATTTAGAGTAAAAAGGTACTGACCGCTGTTCTAACATGTGGACACGGTGAGAGGTGTTAGTCTCAAAGAATCCATTTTTGTCCAACCAATAAATATCAACGAAAGGCTTCCC